TTATGTGCACTGCAGATGTAAACAAATTTGCGCTAGATTTAGCGGGAATGCAAGATGTTAGCGCCTGGCGATCCCTTCGCCCGCCCTGGCGAACGTTGGGTTTAAAAGTAAGGCCTCCCTCACTCAGAGGTTCGCCTGGCGTAGCTTCGCCAGGCGAACGCCAGCACTGGCGAAGGTTTTAAAAGTACGGGCCTAAGTCTTTACCCATCGTGGTGCCCAGCCACAGCAGTAACCTCCGGGCGACAATTGCAACTTTTCGCGCCTGGGCGGGGCGCGAAACGCCGACCCCTTGGATGAGAGGCTGACACGTTACCACTGTACTCGCCTGGAGGCTAGGGAGAGTAAGGGGCATAAGAGGGAAAGGAGGAGAAGCACTCGGGAACCACGGGGCAAGTGAGGACAGGAGACGTCGCGTTATCCAGGGCGCGGCGTACCTTCTAGCAATGAGTCTCCTCACCTGCCTGTCCTCAGCCTGACTTACACTGAGGAGATCTACTCCCTCCGTCGGCCCCTGCAGTCTCTCAACTGCTGACTCTCCTTTCGCCAGGTGAATACTCTCCGTCGTAACCTGGTTCACACCTGCCCTCCCTCTACCTCGAAGGTGGGCACCTATGTTGTCCCGTGTGCCTCCTGTGATAAGCAGTACTTTGGTGAAACAGGCGCCAGTCTTACTAAGCGTCTGTCTCAGCATAAGTACGCTGTATCCAGGGGACATAGCAACAACGCCCTCTTCTGCCATCAGTGGGACACTGGCCATCAGATGGACTGGAAAGCAGCACGCATTCTCTTCCCTTCTGCTGATGTCCATGCCCGCAGACTGGTGGAATCTTCTCTGATTAAGCTGCTGCCCAATTTCAACTTGAACAGCGGTTTCTCTCCTGCCGACAGCCTCCTCGCTTCCCACATCCTTCGTCTCCTCAAGTATGCCGTTCTCCTGTCCTCACCTGCCCCGTGGTTCCCGAGTGCTTCTCCTCCTTTCCCTCTTATACCGCTTACTCTCCCTTGCCTCCTCAGAACCGAAGATGGAATCGAGGACGATTCCGAAACTGTTGTCTCACTTTTCTCAATAAATCTAGTTTGTGCATTGTGGGTTTTTCTTCCATATTATCAAGGTACTGTGTTTTTCATTGCATACATACATATATGCATATATATACATATATATATATATACATATATACGCATATATATATATATATATATATATATATATATATATATATATATATATATATATATATATATATATGTGCATTAATATATGCATATATATATGCATATATATATATGTGCATTAATATATGCATATATATATACATATATATATATATATATATATATATATATATATATATATGTATGGGATATATTATATATATATATATATATATATATATATATATATATATATATATATTTATATACATATATACATAAGTTCATATACATATACACATATATATTCATATACATATATACATATATATTCATATACATATATACATATATACATATATATATACATATATATTCATATACAATATATATACATATATATTCATATACATATATACATATATATTATATACATATACATATACATATATATTCATATACAATTATTATATATTCATATACAATATACATATATATCATATACAATTATACATATATATTATATACATATACATATATATATATATATACATATATACAATTATACATATATATTCATATACAATTATACATATATATTCATATACAATTATACATATATATCATATACATTATACATATATACATATACATATATATTCATATTCACACACACACACACACACACACACACACACACACACACACACACACACACATATATATATATATATATATATATATATATATATATATATATATATATATATATATATATTCATATACACACATATATATATATTCATATACATATATATATGTTGTTACGGCTGGCATTTTACTAAGAGAATTCAGGGTAACAGCAGATCCGCTAATTCTCTTTATGCGGTATCCAGAATTATAGACGAGAAATT